TGACGACGCAGCAGCGGCGACAGGGTGGTCTCGGACCGGCTGCTCGACGGGCAGCAGCAGCGGCGAGACAGACGACGCAACAGCGGGGTTTGTTTTAGCCTCAGCTATTCGACGTGCATAGTAGGGTCGTTTGGCTGGGAGCAGCTTCTCGTCGAAGCAGAAAGCGACCATGGTGATGAGTGGTCGTTGACGAAGAAAGGGTCAGCCATGGGAGGGCATCATGGAGGAGAAGAAGCAGCAGCAACGGCGAAGAGGAAGGTATGCAGCAGCAGCTAACAGGTCGTTTGGTCGTTTGAGGGGTCGTTTATGGCGAGGTGTCGCCTTCGACGAAGGAGATGAATACATGGTGACCAACGACCATGCGAGTTCATGCTCGAGCTCGACGAGGCAGCGACGATGGTGTGTAGCTTGTTCTGGGGTCGTGAGGGTGATGAATAATGACGTGCGTGTGTGTGTTGAGGGGATAGGCCGGGCAGCCATGGATGAGCTTGGAGAAAGCTGCAGGGGCAGCCATGGGAGGTGGGTGGTTTTGGATTTTTGGAGAAGAAGAGAGGGGGGGCGGATGGGTTTTCTTAGGTTTTAGGGTTTTTAGTGTTTGTCTTTTTTTTGTTTTGTTTTGTGTTGGACAAAAATGAAGAAGGGGTGTTGGGTATTTGGGTTAATGGGGCGGACCGGGTCGACCCGGTTTGAAGTGGACCGGGTCGTGGGGAAGGTTGGACAATTGTTTGGGCCTGTGGTTTGAGATTGAAGAAGTGACTCAATCCTATTTTTCTTTGTATTTTTGCCCTCTTTTCTTCTTTTATTTTTCTAAAATTAAATTATAAAAATACTTAAATTACTATTAAGAACTAAATTAAGTTATAAAAGAGCAAATTAACTCCCAATAATAATTAACGCACAATTAAGTAATAATTAAGCATAAAATTGTATATTTGGACATTAAATGCTAAAAATGCAAAAGATGCCTATTTTTGTAATTTTTAATTTTTGTAAAACAAACTTAATTACTAACAATTGTAGAATTAAATCCTACATGCAAAATACGATATATTTTTGTATTTTTATTAATTTAACAAATAAACATGCAAGGAAAAATACAAATAATCATCCAAAAAATGTCACAAAAATACTCAAAATTGCACACCAAGGAAAATCATTTTATTTTGAATTTTTTGGGAGTAATTCTCATATAGGGCAAAAATCACGTGCTTACACGTGTATCCCACATGCATAGATTGATCATGATTGTGCTTCACAAGATGGACCTGGTCCATGACTGAGTTCACTTGTCATTCTTCAAATTTTCACCTGTTCTTGGGCCAACAAATTCCCCCTTTTTGATGATGACAAACTCTGTGTTTTTTACTGATTTGAATCCTGTAAGAACTCAGCTTAACCATCAATACTAAACTTAGAAAATTCACTTATCATCAAGGACCAGGTTAATTAGGTTATAAATATCACTTATTTTCAGAATGTGTAAAGCACAATATACATTATCTCTTCCCTCTTTTGGCATCATCGAAAAGTTGCATACGAAGTGTGATACCCAGATTTTAATAAGTACTCATGGCCACTGGGGCAACTGCAAGTACAATCATCAGTAATCAAACAAACATTTTTAAACTATCAAGGACAGATTAATCATTGAACAAGAGAAAACAACAGTCATCATTGATAGAGATATGTTGCAACCTACAATCCACAAAAAAGAAAGAGAAACATTTAAACCATGAGCAAAAAAACAAAAAAATCTCTAATCTGGGTCACTGGGGGTACTAAACAAGTTCAGAAGACAGTAGCTCGAAATCCTAAGGCTCGGAGGAACTAGATGGTTGGGTTTGAGTTTGGAGAAGATTCAGCATGTTCTGAAGAATTCCATCATTCTTCTCCTTTTCTTTGGCAAGCTCAGTTCTAAGTCCATCCCTCTCAGTTTCCACTTCAACCACACGAGCCTTGAGCCTAGCAATTTCAGCATCCTTGGTTGCACATTCCTAAATCAGAGTCCTAACTTTGCTGTTGATGGGTATCTTCTGAGATGAACCAGGTTCAATGGGGATGGCAAGACTGAATAGTCACAAGCAAGAAGAGTTTTGATGCCAAAATGTTCCTTGCTCGAAGCCATTTCCCATTTCATCAGAGACACATTTAGCCTGTCCAGAATTGTGGTCAGAATGAAGCCATATGGAGTAGCATGAGCTTTTGAGCCATTTATGACCCTGTCTAGCAGTTTGATAATGAAGGCAGACCAGTTGATTTTCTTTCCTCTCTTCAGGCACTCCATAAGAACTAGATCCATGTAGTTAGTAGTGTGCCTTCTCTCCTATCTGGGCAATAAACACTTGTTGACAAATTCAAACACAACATTGTGCTCAGGCCTCACTTCACTTTTGCACAGCCTTGGCTTCAGTCACCTCTTCTGAATCACAAAACCTCTTGGTGATCTCAAGGGCAGTAGGGAGGGAGTCCAAGCATGGCTACCTTTGCCTTGTATAGTCATCAAACCCTTCAGAGGGTATGTCTAGAATCTCTCCCAGTTTCTCTGCATCAAACTGCACTTGAACTCCTTTCACCAGGCTACTAACGACTCCATCCTTAACAGCAACATTGGGCATAAGTACAATCAGCTCATTTCTAGCTAGCCTACCATCTATTTAAGGACCATGTCCTTCCATCCCTGAGCAGCTAAAGGATCCAGCAATCTCATCATTCCTGGTTCCACCAGGTCCTTCAACAGTCTGCCCTTTAAAATCTTTCTTCTGCCAAAAATGGCAAGCTTGTCCTGTTCCTTCTCAGAATCATTTTCTTCTTCGTCTCCACTCCAGTCATCATCATCAGAAACTTTTGATTGTTTGGTTTTCACTGCAGATCTTGTCCTCTTGGCTAGTGTGGGTTCAGCAGCCACAGGCACAGAGGAAGACTTCTTTGAAGAGGTCTTGGGATTTTTAGGCTTGGTTGTAGGAACCTCCACTGTTGTACCCCTTTCTTGATGGACTAGTTTCATCTCCTCTTCCTCAAAAGCCTCTGAGGACTCTGCAATCTTTCCCTTTCTTTTATCCTTTTTCTTTTTCTTACTTTTTTCTAAGGCCCTTATTAGATCAGCTTTACTCTGTTTCACCCTGCTTCTTGTAGCTTTACCCCTTGGCAATGAGGAGGCAGTAGGTGTTGGGGATGAAACCTTTCTTTTCTTGGAAGGCTTAGAAACATTTGGGGCTTTTGTTATGGAAGTTCTGCGTTTCTTTGGGTCATAGCTTGCCCCAACCTTTTTCAGTAGATCAGCTAGGGTCTCTTCAGTAGATGAAACAGGTTCATCTCTATGTATGCTTAGATGAACCAACCCCTTAGCAGCTTCCCTAGAACCACTTCCCCCTAACTTCATGTCATTCTCATCTACCCTTTCATGTTCAACCCCACAGATGGCAGGCACTATAATTTTCCCAATTCCCATTTCTTCACCACATGCACCCTCTCTCTCATTTTCTTTTTCAAAATTCTTTTTACCTCCACTCCTACGTTTCTCAGGCACTTCAACATCTCTAATTGGTCCAACTAGAACAAACCTAGTCTTTGGGTTTTCAATCACAGATGAACTTACCTCAAAAGGAGATTCTTGAATCTTTTCAGAACCAGAAGACCCATGTACTTCCCCCTCAGTTGTGGATTGATAGGATTCAGACTCAAAGCTGGAGTCGGAATTTGGAGCTTGGCTTTCTTTCACTTGGCTTGCTTTCAACCTTTCATTTAAAGCCTTCCTTAGAGCCCCAGATGCTACAGTCTTTCGAGCACCCTTCGTAGTCTAGGTTTTGGGGATACACTAGGTGGAGTAGATGAGGATGAATTTGAGGGATATGGTGGTGGAGGAGTTCCAAGATTTTCTTGTGGGTTAGACATGATTGTTGGTTTCTTGAGAGAATCTAGGAATTTTGGAGAAGAGGGCAAGTGAAAGTGAAGAAGAGTTTTTGACGGTTTGAAGTTATGATGAAGGCTATAGAAAAGATGTGTATTTAAAGGAATTACACATTTAATAAGTAACGACAGCCTTTTGCAGTGGTCAAATAGGAGTCTAATCAACCTGAAATTCCAAATTTTGAATGATCTATTTGGTTTCCCTAGATATTAGGCGAAAATTACGGTTTAGAGTTCTAGGTGGACGGAACTGGTTCAATGCTAACAGATAGAATTTTCTAGGAATTTGACAAGTATAGGACTTCTGTCCAAGATTGAATTATTAATCTTTTTAATTGTGCAGAGTATAGAAAACATACCTGAGCTTTCATATGAACCCATACTGATGAACCAAGTTCTTCATTTAGAACTCTCTTGAACATGCCTCAAATGCCATAATAGAGAAAATTTTGTAAGAGATCAGTAAGTCATATAAATACATGTCACAGGAGTATACTAATTAAAGCATGAAGCTAAGTAAGAATTAATCTAGATATTTACACAAGTTCAGAATTCCTAGCCAATTTTTTTTTTCATTTTTTTTGTGCATTCTGAGCTGGACCTATTAGGTGATCTTAATCATCCCTAATTCCAACATGTTCCTCTCAAAGTTTTCTCTACTCAGTACTTTAGTGAAGATGTCAGCAATTTGCTTATCAGTAGCACAGAATTATATGGAGATCAATCCTTTCTCATAGTTATCTCTTAAGAAGTAGTGTCTAACATCTATGTACTTAGTCCTCTTATGATGAACATGGTTCTTTGTCATACTTATAGCACTAGTGTTATCATAGAATATAGGAATGCAACCAACTTCAATGCCAAAATCTACCAGCTGATGTTTGATTCGCAACAACTAAGCACAACAAGATGCAACAACAACATATTCAGCCTCAACAATGGATAAGGCCACTGGATTTTGCTTTTTAGTGGCCTAGGATACAAGACATGAACCAAGAAAGTGAGCCATACTTGAGGTGCATTTCCTATCCATAAGGAAACATGCATAATTAGTATCAGCATATCCTAGTAGATTGAAATTACTACCTTTCGGATACCAAAGACACAAATCAGTGGTGCCTTTCAAGTATCTTTGTATCCTCTTGACAACAGTCAAGTGAGACTCTTTTGGATTGGCCTGGAAGCGAGCACAAAGCCCTACACTGAAGACTATGTCAGGTCTGCTAGCAATTAGATACAAGAGTGAACCAATCATACCCCTATACAACGTTTGATCAACTGATGAACCAGGTTCATCAATGTCTAATTTTGTGGCAGTTGCAATGAGTTCTTTTGCATACTTCTGCCAATGGATCATGGTTCCATTTGGGCTTTGTTTGATCTGTAAGCCTAAGAAGAAGTTAAGCTCACCCATCATACTCATTTCAAACTCACTCCCCATTAATTTTGCAAAATCCTTACTTAGCTTATCAGTGGTGACCCCAAAGATTATGTCATCAACATATATTTGTACCACAAGGAGATCTTTACGTTTTTCCCTTAAGAATGAGGTACTGTCAATTTTACCTCTTTTGTACCCATGTTCAAGAAGAAATTTAGACAGTCATTCATACCATGCTCTTGGAGCCTGCTTGAGTCCATAGAGAGCCTTGTTTAATTTGTACACATGCTCAGGATATTCCTTGATCTCAAACCCTGGAGGTTGTTTTACAAACACTTCTTCTTTCAGGTAGCCATTCAGGAAGGCACTTTTGACATCCATCTGATGAAGAGTGAATTCCATGTGTGCTGCAAAGTTTATGAGGAGTCTTATTACCTCTAGTCTTGCAACTGAAGCAAAAGTCTCATCATAATCTATGCCCTCCTCTTGCCTGTAACTTTGGACCACCAGTCTTGCCTTGTTTCTTGTAACTGTTCCATCTTCATCAAGTTTGTTTCTGAAGACCCATTTTGTACCAATAACTGATATGTCCTTGGATCTTGGAACTAGATGCCAAACTTGACTTCTCTCGAACTGATTGAGTTCATCATGTATTGCACTCACCCAATCTGCATCCTACAAAGCCTCAACAACATTTTTAGGTTCAATAAGAGATAAAAAAGCATCAAAAGCACACAGATTCTTTAATTGTGATCTAGTTTTGACTCCAGATGTTGGATCAGTGATAATATTCTCAATAGGATGAGAACTTTGATACTTGTGAGGTTTCACAACTAACTGGTTTCTGCTAGATGTTTCTCCCATGTTCTATTGCTGAGGAACAGGGTCCTGAACAGATTCTTTTAGGGGTTTTGTTTCAATTCTTCTTTGATCAGTTCCCCTTGTCAAGTTGCCCTGAATGGAAGAACTTGTTCCATCACCTGTTCCTTCTTTTGGTGCCACTTTAACTTGTGCTGAGGCTTCAGTCAAATCTTTTACCAATCCAATGGCTTCATCTTCATGTTTTTGTCTCTCAGAAAGAATGTTAGTTTCATCAAACACTACATGCACACTTTCTTCTACACACAAAGTTCTTTTATTGAACACTTTATATACTTTTCTATGTGAAGAATATCATAAGAATACTCACTCATCACTTCTGAGATCAAACTTACCTAGAGAGTCTTTTCCATTATTGTGCACAAAGCACTTGCATCCAAATGCCCTAAGATGGGATATATTTGGTTTTCTCCCTTTAAGTAACTCATAGGGAGTATTCTCTACAAGAGGTCTAGTCATGAATCTATTGATAATGTAACACGCAGTGTTTACAACCTCTGCCCAGAAGCTATGAGGCAGTTTACTAAAAAGAAGCATAGTCTTAGCCATATCTTCAAGAGTCATGTTCTTTCTTTCAACTACTCCATTTTGTTGAGGAGTCCTAGGGGAAGAGAAGTTGTGATCTATACCATTCTCATCACAGAATTCAACAAACTTAGCATTTTCAAATTCAGTTCCATGATCATACCTAATGGATGCAAGTTGATTTCCTAATTGTTTTTGAGTTTTTCTAACAAAAACAGTAAACATATCAAATGCTTCATCTTTAGATGTTAGAAATAGTACCCAGGTAAATCTAGAATAATCATCAACAAGTACCATTATATATTTCTTTCCACCTTTGCTCATGGTTCTCATTGGACCATAGAGATCTATATGGACCAGTTCCAACGACTTGGTTGTGCTTACAATTTTCTTACTTTTGAAGGATGATCTTACCTGCTTATCCCTTGCACAGGTCTCACAAGCTTTGTCTTCCTTGAACTTGATGTTAGGTAACCCTATAACCAAGTCCTTAGAGACTAATTTGTTTAGCTGATTCAGACTAGCATGACCAAGTCTTTTGTGCCACAAGAGGGGATCATTATCCAACACACTTAGACAGGTGAGTTCATTTTCCGAAAGAGTAGACAAATCTACAATGTAAATATTGTTAACTTTTTTTCCCTGCAAAACAATCTTGTCAGTGGTAAGGTTAATCACAAAGCATTTAGTAGAGGTAAATGCTACAAGGTTACCTCTGTCACACAGTTGTGACACACTGATCAAGTTGTATTTCAAGCCATCTATCAAATAGATATTCTCAATGGAGTGAGAACTTGTCTTACCTACCTTTCCAACCCTAATAATCTCACATTTATTCCCTTTTTCAAAGGAGACATTACCTCCCTTTAGGTCCTCAAGTGAAAGGAACTGGTTCTTGCTTCCAGTCATATGTTTTGAGCAGCCATTATCCATGTACCATATTTGGCTACTTCCCTTCACTTGGACCTGCAAAACGAAATCAAGGGTTAGTCTTAGCAACCCAAACTAGTTTGGGTCCCTTTCTATAGGTAAAGGAATAAATCAAATTCCTTTTAGCCCACCCAGGCAACATATTTTTCTCTTGAACAAAAGTTTTGTTCTTTTGACTACCATTTTCTTTTGCATTACATTTATTTTTGTAATGACCAGTCTTACCACAATGTGTGCAGATTTTGTTCTCAGGAAGAGTGAGATACTTGCTTTTAGGATCCCACTTAGGTGCTTGAGTTCCATATCCAAGTCTTCTTTTGTTACTGCTGTGATGTTCTTGTAGCAAGGAAAGTACATCAGAAGCCTTGTTCCATTTGCAAGTTCTGTCTAGTTTATGTTTTACCTTCCCTAGATCTTCTTTTAAGACTTTTATCTACTCATCCTTCATGTACAACTCATCTTTCATTTTTCCCAAGTTTTCTTCTAGAGTGAGATATGTGTGGTCTACTTTCTTCTTACCTGTTCCTAGTTTCAGTTTTAAGTTCTCAGACCTAAGTTCTAGGATACTGGCGTCAAGTTCAAGAACCTGGTTCTTCAACTCAACATTTTTACTCTCACTCTCATTAGCCCTAGAATCTAGGTTTTTGCACTTGGATTTTAGGATTACACATTCTCTAGATAGATCTTCCTTCTCATTGTTAATTATTTCAGACTCATCAATGAAGTCTAGCAATAGCTCAGACAACCTTTCTTTAGACAGAAATTTAATTTTGTCTTTGAGATGAAGGATACTTACCTCTTGTTCATCATCTGATTCTCCGATAGCC